AGTTATGCAGGTTTTTGCACAGAAGTCTGTGGTGAACTGTTTAATGGGACAGTGCCCTGGTCACCACTGTTGTAGCTGCTGGTGATTTGTTGCACTGAAGTCAACAATGCTCTCTTTATCTGTTCCCCTTCAGCATAAATGAGCTGTGCATGACACACATTTGGTTATCATTTTTAAAAAATATATAATAAATATTACATCATAACCTTTTAAACAGACTCAATTCTTTTCTATTTTTAAACTAAATTGCATGTTTGAGTTGGCTTAGCTGAGATACACAGTGACAAATTAAAATACATTATACTCTATTGATTTGTTTCAAGATGCACTCCAATAATTTGTTTTTCTAAGTTTTTTTTTTTTTTTTTCAAATAAAAACTGCCTAAATACCCTAATTTAGATAAGGCATAGCCCTGGCTTAAAGGTATAGTTTACCCAAAAATGTTAATTTACTGACATCGGGTGGATTCAAACCTTTAAAAGTTCCCCATTTCTGTTTAACACCAAAGCTATTTTGAAAAATGTAACCATCGACCTTCATACTATATTGTCACGATATTGGAATTCAGTTCTAATCGATACTGTAATTTAAAAAACGTCCCATTTCCTGCTAACATATTAAACAGCTTTTTAAACACGCTGTAAAAAAATCTCTCATTTTATGTTTTTTTTTTTTTTCTGACAGCTGGGGTGCCAGGTAAAAAACGTAAAATAACAGCCTTGAAATTACATAAATCTACCAAAAAATAATGTCCGTTAAATTACAGAAATGTACTTGAATTATTTACTTAAATATTATTTATATTTTAATTAATTACTTAAATTTCTGTAATTTAACGTCTGTTATTCTATGGTAAATTTTTGTTATTTAACACCATTATTTTACACTTTTTTTTCTGCCACCCCAGCGAGGAGGGGAACACTGCAGACTTGGATCTAGACAGATCTACGGCCCAGACAGTTTTAAACCCCTGTTGTTCCTGATGCGTCCAGTAGAGGTAGTATTATTATAAGCCTTCGGAACTTTATCACACCCAACCAAATGCGACACGATGAAGAGGTATGTTAAATACGTGTTTAAAACATTATCAAACATGAAACTTAATTTTTTTTTTTTTTGGATTAAGGTCGATATGAGTGTATGTCACAAACAAATTGGTGTAATATAACAGCAATGTGTTAGTTTGACTCAATTTTAGCAAACTATGTGCAGGCTAGCTACATGTTCTACATCAACAAAAAAGTAAAAGAACAATAACCTACATAAGAAAGTGTCTTATGTAGGCTAATTTTCTTTTTTTTTTTTCGTCTCAGCAAGGGAGTAATTATTATATATTTATTAACTATTTAAAGATATATATTTTCTTATAGATTAGACCACTTGCGTGGTCTGGGTAGTCAGCCAAATATACACTATACAACTACACTACATTATTCCTCCAAATTTGACTTTCTTACATATTGAAATAAATCTAAACAGATCTGAAAATTAAATTGATTTTATTTTAAAATTTAAAATTGCATTGCACTTAATTACATTTAATATAATGCAATCCTGTTCTAGTTTAAACAATTAAACTATCATATATCTATAAATGCGTAGAGAAACTCCCAATTATAAATGGTCTACTAATTTTTGTTCATATAGCTATACAGTACATTTTATATATTAGCAATGAAGTTTGCATTGTACATGCATTCATATTGTTTATCACTTATTGTTTCATAATATTTATTGTAACAATTTGTTACAAATAAAATAATCTAATATGTTAAATATGGGAAAGTCAGGATCACAATTTGTAGCTGTAAATAACTAAATATAAAAAATAAGGACTTGGTCCTTTTGTTACACCTTAAGTTATAATTCTTAAATCATAAATCAAATAAAAAATAATAAAAAAAATTGATATGTTTGCATAGGTCCAGATAATATATAAAATGGCATGAAATGTTTTTTTTTTTTTCATTTTCTATTCCTTACTGTTTTTAAAGATTAAGAATTTTTAGATATTTGGACTAGAAACAAGTCAGAAATTCTTAAGAAAATGATTTTTGCAGAGTATTTATACATATATATATATATTTTTTTAGTGAGCATAAAGAATTTGATGCAAGGATTCAGCTTCATTTAAAGAAAACTGGCAATCTCTAGTGATATTGTTGTCAATAAATAAATGTTTAAAAAAAATCTAATGTTGTCTGGGTTTTGTTTGTCATGTAGCTAAATGGTCCTTGGAATTTTAGAAATTAGTAAACTGTTTGTCTAAATGTTCTGCAGCTGTCTGGTAGTCAATACCACTGCATTCTTATCAGAGCACATCACATTACACTGTATTGTTTGGTTATAATTTTGTTATTTTCAAAATGCAACTTTATATAAAAACAATACAACAAAATGCACCTCTATATGAAAACGTATAACTAGGCTACAATTAGCCATTACACTTTCCAACTATTTGTGTTTTTAATTTTTCTTATTAAATGAATCTAAATTTATTTGCATTTGGGCTTTTTCAAATCTGAAATTATTCGGTGTATCAATTCTGCATATTATCTAGTGAGTTTATAACGCACATTCTGATACATTAACTTTGTGTTTATATCTAGTGTAATCTAATTAAAAATATATATTTATGAACAAGACATTTAATAATCTGGGAGCGTTGACTTCAAATGTATTATTTGGCCATGTATCTTTTATCCCCCCTACTGGACGCATTAGGAACAACAGGGGGCGTAAAACTGGGTCGTAAAACTGCCTGGATCCAAGTCTGCAGACACCCCATATAGACCCCAGCAGCCAAAAAAATAAAACAAAGTACGTAAATTAACATTAACGCATATTTTTTTTGTTACAGTGCAGCGTTTTAAAGCAGCGATTCATCAACAAATCGTTCATATGTCAGCTTATAGACAAACCAGCTGACCAACATGATTTTGAAACGCTCCAGTGTCCCTGTATCTGTGATTAAACTCAGCAAAGTTCGGTGAGTTTGGTAAAACTGATGACCTTCACGGCCAAACATAGTCATGTCTGTTGAGCAAGTAAACACAATGGCAAATTAGAATTGTTTAAGAACATCCTCAAAGATTAACGAGAAATGCACATTTTTAAAGTCTCATGACAACCCTACTATAATATTATGGCTTTTTCTATTTTTTCCATCTAAGCTAATTTGACACAATCTACATTGTAAAAAGCATCATAAAAAAATTATAGATTTTTTAAATGTATATTTTATATAGAGATTTAAATTTTTTTTCTTTCAAAGTTTTTGATTAAATCTCTGTGCTCATAATGCCCATTGTTTGTTCATCCTAATATTTACAGTTGAAGTCAGATTAGACCCCCTGAATTATTAGCCCCCTATTTATTTTTCCCCATTTTCTGTTTACCGGAGAAAATATATTTTTAAAAACTTTCTAAACATTCATTCATTCATTTTCTTTTTGGCTCAGTCCCTTTATTAAGCTGGGGTTGCCACAGTGGAATGAACCAACTCATCCAGCATATGTTTAACGCAGCGGATGCCCTTCCATTTGCAACCCATCTCTGGGAACATCCATACACACTCATTCACCCACATACACTACGGACAATTTAGCCTACCCAGTTACCGCATGTCTTTGGACCCCACGTCTTGTGAACGTCAGGATAACATGGAAACTCCACACCAACTGACCAAGCAGAGGCTCGAACCAGTGACCTTGCTGAGGCAACTGCACTACCTACTGCGCCACTGCGTCCCCATTTCTAAACATAATAGTTTTAATAACTTATTTCTAATAACTGATTTATTTTATCTTTGCCATGATGACAGTAAATCATATTTTACTAAATATTTTTCAAGACACTTCTATACAGTTTAAAGTGACATTTAAAGGCTTAACTACTGTAGGTTAATTAGGTTAACAAGGCAGGTTAGGGTATTTAGGCAAGTTATTGTATAACTATGGTTTGTTCTGTAGACTATCGAAAAAAAAATTGCTTAAAGGGGCTAATAATTTTGATCTTAAAATGGTTTTAAAAATTTAAAAACTGCTTTTATTCTAGACAAATTAAACAAATGAGACTTTCTCCAGAAGAAAAAAAATTATTAGACATACTGTGAAAAATCCCTTGCTTTGTTAAACATCATTTGGAAAATATTTAAAAAAGTATAAAAAAAAAAACTCAAAAGGGGGCTAATAATTCTGACATCAACTGTATATCCCTGACTGCTGGTTGTGAAATCTCTATGTGAGGTTACTACAGTATATTGGTCTTCTTTTGTTTTATTTATTTGCAATATTGTTTCCTGTTTGTCTCAAAAGCACATTCTGTAGAGAGATTATTCAAATTCCCAGCTGACAAAACCCACTCAATTACTTTCCTTTAGCTTAGTCCCTGATCCATCAGGGGTCGTCAAAGCAGAATGAACCGCTAATTACTCTAGTGTATGTTTTACGCAGCGGATGCCCTTCCGGCCACAACCCAGCACTGGGAAATACCCATAGGGCTCTATTTTGACGGTCCATGCGCAGAGCGCAAAACGCAGGGCGCAAACGCTTTCAGGGCGTGTCAGGACGCGTTTTTGCTAATTTAAGGACGGGAAATCTGTCTTGGTCTAAAAGGGTTGAGTTTATTTTCTTAATGAGTTATAGGTGTTTTCAGAATAAACCAATTAGAGTCTCATCTCCCATTCCCTTTAAGACCCAGCCTTCCTGTTTAGACCAGAACGCCTATGGGCGCACAAATGAGCGCTAATGCATTTGGTATTTAAACAGCGTAGCGCAACGCCTCAAAACGACTCTTGCGCCAAGCTGAAACTACCAAAAGACTATTGCGCCGCGTCTTGCGCCCCACTGCGCCGGGTGTATGATAGGGCCCATACACTTTCTCATTCATAAAGAAACTAATACACTACAGCCAGTTTAGTTTTACCCAATTCAGTTGACATAAACCCCAAAAACTTTATGCTTTAGCTAGTTTAACTCAAAAATGTAAACCTCTCATGTAAATTTAGGGCCAGCAAAATGTTTATTTCAAAAATGAAAATAATCTTTAATAATCTATTTCTTTACTTCAGTGTATTTCATGTGAGTTAATACATTTTTTAAATTGTAAAAACATTTGTAATCACCGCTGTCCAATTCAGTGTCACTTTACAAACAAAAGAATGAACGTTTTGTCATAAAAGCATTTGCACTGCCAAAAGGTGCTGTTTTCAAAAATAAAAGGAACTTCACATTTATACAAAGACATTTTCAAATGACCTTCAAAAAATAAAAGAAACACCTAAAAGCTGAACTGATTAAGGATAGTGGTCAAATGATATTAAACCAAATATCTGATAATTACAAAGTAGTTCCTCATTAAAATCTGTCCCAGTTGAAGTAGTTTAAGTACAGTGAAAAACCTATGAAATGAAATGTACCTGATTGGTTTAAACAATTAGGCAACACAAATATTTTTTAAAAAATCAAACGACAAAATTATTTACATACATCCAGGCAGTTTTTTTTCTTGCTAGATATCAAAAAAGTATAAACCAAGCAGTCTTGACGCACACAAAGTCTTTCATAAAACAAAACAAAAATGTAAAATCTTTGGCCTTTGTTCAACAGAAATATCTGCTGAGAATAAATACATTAGATGTATATACACATGTATGAATGAGAAGCAAATTGAAATGGGGCGGAACATGAAAGCAAATTCTCTTGAAACTCAAGTAATCTTTTTAAATCCTCGTTCATCGTGTCTTTTAGACACACTTTTAAAATACAATCTTTGAAACTCAATACATCGAAGTAAAAGCTCTAATGTTTCCTTTTGCAATTTGATGGAATAATAACAGAAAAAAAGAGTTGAGTGTGTGCAAAAGTAAGCATTAAAACCTCAGCAAGGGAGTCTTGGGTTTGCTTTCAAATAGGTTAGCATTTAGCTATGAGTAGCTCTCATTTTCATTCCAAGAAGTCATCCATTGTTTCTTCTCTGAAGAATCCATTTCGTCTTTGCCTGACAGATTGTCCCTCTCTTCTCTCTTTATCCGCACAGCATTATAACTGGGCACGCTGTCATCATACTTAGAACGTTTGAAAAATCCACACTGTTAAGAAAAGAAGACAATTAGCGGCATGCTAACAAGGCTAAACAGCATAATGTCTACACAAATAAAGCTATATACTGTAGTGTTGTTTGCAGTGTGTGGAGCATGCCTAGCATGATGAAAGAACAATACATTTAATGTTTTAAAGAACATAGGTAAGCAAGAATCAGATATGCTTAAAGCGAAAGAGAGGCTACTATAAACAACCGAAGCAGGCCAAACAAATGCGCAAGATCCCAAATTAAGCCAAATCTGAAGGCTTAAAGAGACAGTTCACCCAAAAATGAACATTTACTCACTATTTACTCACTCTCAAGTGCTCCCAAACATTTATGAGTTCCCTTTTTCCGTTAAACACAACAGAAGATATCTATTTTTTACTGTTAGAAACCTGCAACCATTGATGTCCATAATAGGAAAAGCAAACACTATTGACCTCATTCTTCTCGAATGAGTAGGCACAGCCATTTGTATCTCTTTGGCTCAAGACTGCAGTCTTATTCACTTCCATTCATTTCTAGACATTAAAAACAGATTAACAACTGATATTTTCTCAATATATCATTCTGCTTTGTCTGTATAGTCACATTTGTTTCTAAAGCAAGTAGTTTGACTGTTTTATGCCATTCATTATTCTTAGTCATTTCTCTCAAAGGCAATTGAACTGAAGTTCTAAAACAAGCGCAAAAACAAGCGCACATCCACATTTCAGAATAAAGCCAATAGAAGTCAGTGGTTACAGGATTTCGCCATTTTTCAAAAATAACTTCTTTTGTGTTTTAAAGAAAAAAAGAAACTCAAAGAGGTTTGTTAAAAGTGACGTTTGAGTAAATGATTACAGAATTGTTTTACATTTTGTGTGAACTATCCCTCTGAAAGCGTTTATAGACTCTCAAACATTCAGTCATACTCAGGCACACGCAGCTGAAGCCGTGTAAACATGTATAAACCCTTTTTTTTTCCAACAATGACGACTTCATACATGATTAGTTTGCATTCCTCATAGCATTGTTTATGTCTGAGCAGTGTAAGCCATGGAAACTGCCACCATTACCCACATCTAGGCATGTGCTTCAGACTACAGTGGGTTAGCATGGGCTAATCCAACTCTTCATGCTAGCTCTGAGCACGCAGGCAGACTTGATCTGAGGTTGTTGGGTTTTTTTTACCCTAAGAGAGAGGTTCTTGTTCTCTGTTTCTCTATGCATCTGAAGTCAGTCTCTCTTTTTCAGGTTCTTTGCCACTTTTGCCGAAAAAACCACACTAAAAGGGGTAAAGGTTGTGTTTTAAATACTTAGTCACATGACCCTGCTGGAGAAATAAACATAGAAACCATGACAGAAGTATTAATAATATAACTACAATGTTATTCTGGGTCTGGTCTTTTTTGATCCGTGTTAAAAACAATTAGTCTTAATAGAATATAATCCAATAAACACTAGAAACTATTAAGCATTACTGGCTGTAAAGGGACAGTTCACCCAAAACGGAACATTCTGTCATTGTTTACTCGCCTTTCTGTTCTGTTCTGTTGAACACTAAAGAAGATATTTTGAAGAAAGGTTGACACCTGTAACTATTGACTTCCATAGTAGAAAAAAAAAACAAATACTATATTTGTTTTTTCTTCTATGGAAGTCAATGGTTACAAATGTCCAGCTTTCTTAAAAATATCTTCTTTTGTGTTTAACAGAAGAAAGAAACTCATAGGTTTGGAACCACTTGAAGGTAAGTAAACGGTGAGTAAATTATCATTTATTTGTGTGAACCATCCCTTTAAGGCTGTTTAAATGTTTGCAATAGGGACAACAAGATCCTGTCATGGTTTCTATATCTTTTTTTTTTCTTCAGCAGGAAAATAATACAAAATGATACAAATATGTTAAACATTTGGTCAGTTTTCAATAAAATAAGCATTAAAATAGTTTTCTTGAATCTGCAAATGAGATTACCTTCCAAAGCAGGAAGACCAGTAAGCCCAGCAAGAGGAGTCCAAGTAAAATGGCCACCAGTATAACCCACCAGGGCATACCGCCGTACTGTGCTACTTTGCGTTCTGGAAATACAGTAACGCGTACCTGGAACAGGATCGATAGATTTTTGGAATGCATTTATTACTTAAGAATGGAGTTTAGTATAAAGTCAAGCTGATAGAAAAAGACTCAGTGAATCAAAACAGTGAATGCAGTGAATATCCTCACCTGAGATGGCTCATTCTTCAGCTGTATATTTGTAGCTGTGGTCTTGAAATCAAGTGATGCTTTGGCAATAATATCAACGTAGTTCAATTTTGCATAATCCTGTAAGATATATAGTCTACATTAGCAAACATTTTGTCTAGGATGAACAAAATAAAAAATACATGTGGTTTGTGCTTTGTAACACTAGTGTCAAGTTTTTCAGAACGTTTCCGTCTGTACTAATGTTAAAAAATAAAAATAATTGATTAAAATATCAAGAAATCATTTTTGTAAACTAAGGAAATTTATTTCTCACCACAGAATTAAAAAAGTGATAAATTAGATAATGAGTTTTGTTTTTCTCATAATTTTGTTTTTCCATGCAATTCTAAGAAAAAAAGCAGGCACTTTCAAGATTTCAAGATGAGATATAAAATCATAATTGCAATTACCCAAGTAAAATAAAAGGAATAAAATGTAAAATAAAAAATAAATAAATGTTGAAATAAAATGCAATTGTACAATTAAAAAAGATATTTTTTTTAAATAAGTATATGATAATAAGTGTTTTATTGGTGGCGCGGTGGTACAGTAGGTAGCACTGTCACCTCACAAATAGAAGGTGGCTGGTTTAAGCCTTGGCTAGGTAAGTTGGTGTTTTGTGTGGAGTTTGCATGTTCTCCCCGTGTTGTCGTAGGTTTCCTCCAGGTGCTCCGGTTTCCCCAAAAAAAGTCCAAAGACATGTGCTATAGGTGAACTGGGTAAGTTAAATTGTCCGTAGTGTATGTGTGTGAATGCTAGTGTGTGGGTGTTTCCCAGTAATGGGTTGCAGCTGGAAGGGCATCCGCTGTGTAAAATATGCTGGATAAGTTGAATGTTCATTCTGCTGTGGCGACCCCTGATTAATAAAGGGATTAAGCCGAAAAGAAAATGAATAAAGAATAAAATAATTTTCTGTGTGAGCCTTGTATTTATTACATTGTGGTCACCAAATGTCCACCCAAGTATAGCAGTGCCGGTAAAATTGGACATTTTTTGGCTCATTAATCACAAAGAATGAAGTATTTTGGAAATGTATGAATGCAGATTGTTTATTGTGAGAGTTGGGTTTATGTGTAGGGGTGGAATTTACAGTATGAACAGTAAATAAATCATTACATCTATAAACAGTCCCCATAGACACCTAAACTTGTGTACGTCTGTGTAATTATGACTCATAAATGTAAAATCTGCTCATGAAGTAAAGTTGTCTCAAAGTTACAGTAACTATGATTGCATTTTTTCAGGTGTTTTTGAATACATTTATTAAATGTGAATAGGTTTTAATACATCACAAAATCAAGAGTGCCACTCACCTCCAGGAAAGTGGCATTCCAAAGGTAAGCACGCAGACTAATAACAGCATTGCTGTCCATTCCCGTGAGAGGACATATGAAAGTTATACACTCCGCACCATCATCACATGACTGAAAGGTGATTAGAAACAAGAGGATGATTATTAGTGAGAAACATTGACCATATATATACATTATGACACATTCAGTGTTCATGTGGGAGCCTCAAAGGGATAACATTAACAATCATTTTTTTGACCCTTCACTTGTTCTAAACCTATTTGAGTTTCTTTTTTCTGCTGAACTCAAAATAAGATATTTTGAAAAATGTTTGAAACTGGTAGCCATTAGCATTTCGGTAAACTTTCAACAGAAAAAAAAAGAAACTCATGAAGGTTTGGGATCACTTGAGAAAGGCGAAGTGCATATTTATTTTTTGGGTGAATTATCACTTTTAATATACATATTTTTTAGGGTTTGAATGATTCTTTTTTTTTTTTTCGAATTGACTATAATTTTGTTATGTTATAGATGAAAACATCCACTGAATTAAACTGCTGTAAAAAATTACTCAGAAAAATATTTTCTTAATTTTTTTTTTGCATAAATTTGTTAATCTACCTCAGTCCTGATCAAAACTACTAAATGTTTTTAAAAATTACAGGATTTTAAATCTTTAATTTCAAAGTTCACAAATGATGCCACTGGTTTGGTGGAAACACAAATATTGATGTATTTCTTATATAAAAAGCAATTGTGGAATAGATTTTATTTTACTTTTTATCACAGTCTTGGACATGGAACGATTAGTAACAGCATTGGCTTTGATGCGTTGTTAGATTTTTAAATTTTCTCTCTAATTTATTGTTTGTGGCTGTTTTTGCACCACTGACTTCCATTATAACCACATTTGATGGTGCATAAATATGCAGTCTTCGTTTTTATTTACTCCATGAAGTTCTGAACGCTGAGATGCATATTTAGATTTTCTCAGACACATCAAGATAAGTTCCCGAAGGTCACTCTCACACACAAATACCGAAAAAAAGAAAAAGGGCGTCTGCTAAATTTTATTTTAGGACAAGCAATAATGGTGACATACATTAGTAGGAGGCACAAGGGTTTGTATGATACCAATTACAAAATTGATCAGATTTTTTAAAGAGCAAGAATAAGGCATGATTTAACTTTTTAATATGTCAATGAAAATGTTGGACAAGTTTAAAGTCATTCGGAGTGTAAAAAATATGCTGTGTTGGGTTGAAAATAATGTATTTGTTTTTGATGAAAACATTGTGTGATTTGGAAATATGGTTTTGTTTAAAGCAATAAAATGTGCTGTTTATAATTTTGTATTAAATAAAGAATTCAATATATTCTTACACACGAGAGAAAACCATACATAAACTAAGCTTTTTGGGGCAAAAACAGCCACCAACAGTAAATTAAGGAGAAAAATGAAAATCAATCAAAAACAATGCATCACAGGCAATGTTGTGTTACATGTCCAAAACCTTGATAAAAGGTAAAAAATCCAGTCCACAATAGCTTTTTATATTGAAAATACGTCATTTTGTGTGTTCTTTCACCATGTCAGTGACATAATTTGTGAATTTGGCAATTAAAGAGAATCCTGTCATATTTTAAGCAATTTAGTAGTTTTGATCAGGGCTGAGGTTGACTAACTGATTTATGCTAAACAAATTGAAAAAATTATCTGATGCATTTTTACAGCAATTTAAGAATTGCTGAAAAAATTGCTGTTTGCATTGCCGGCAATAAGTCACATTTGTATCCAGTGCATGTTGGACTCCGGCAGGGCTGCCCCTTGTCACCAATTCAATTCAGAACTTTTATGGACAGAATTTCAAGGTGCAGCCTTGGGCAGGAGGGTGTCCGGTTTGGGGACCACAAAATTTAATCTTAGTTATTCGCAGACGATGTTGTTCTATTGACTTCATCGAATATGGACCTTCAGCATGCACTGGGGCAGTTTGCTGCCAAGTGTGACGCAGCTGGGATTAGAATCAGCACCTCCAAGTCCGAGGCCATGGTGCTCCACCGGAAAAGGTTGGTTTGCGCTTCTCCAGGTTGGAGGAAAATCCTTACCCCAGGTGGAGGAGTTTAAGTATCTTGGAGTTTTGTTCACGAGTGAGGGAATGATGGAATGTGAGATTGACAGGCGGATTGGTGCAGCAACAGCAGTAATGCGGTCAATGTTCTGGTCCATTGTGGTAAAGAAAGAGCTCAGTCGGAAGGCAAAGCTCTCGATTTACAGGTCAATCTACATTCCTGCTCACATCTATGGGTCATGACCGAAAGGGAGAGAGGGAAGTCTGGGGTTCTCTCCTGAGACTACTGCTCCCACAACCTGGCCCCAGAAAGGCGGCAGAAAATGAATGAATGAACTTTTACAGCAATTTAATTCAGTAGATGTTTTCATCCCTAACAACACAAATAGGTAGTAAATTTGCCAAAAGTGCATTGTTGAGTTTTTTAAAAATGTCAAAGCATTTTCTTAAAATATCCGTCACCAATATAATTTTGCTAGCTGAAACACAGAAAAAATTATGGCCAAATTAAGACTCAAAATCACCCCAGAGTAGATGAAAACTTCCCCAAGAGTACATTAGTGTTAAACATTTGTAAGATATCAGTCATTATGGGAGATCTAGTGTAGACTAATGTAAAAAAAAAAAATCTGATCAAAACTACTAGTCTTTTACTTCAGAAGCAATGTTTACTTAATGTTTATATGACTTTACCAAAAGTGTGTATTTCCTTTTATCTGTAAAAAAGGCGGTTTTTCCCTCTGCTGCTGAAGTTTCCCCAACTTCACGTTTAGTTCTTGACACTGAAAGCTCCTTGATGATCAAAAAGCAGAACATGTGATCAGGTCACTTCTTAGGCAGCTGATTTATTTGTGAAACAAGAGAAAAATGTATGTACAGTATAATAATCTTTTTGACTGAATCAAGAGCTACCTTTAAACCGAGTTTGTTGACCTCATCTGAGTTGGTGCAGCTCAAGCTGTCTAAGCCGGTTGATGTCATCTTCATAAGATACAGCAGCCATTTGCCTTGAGAGTTATGCTTTGGCCATTGGATGATCATAGACGCCCTGCCGAAAGACTTCAGGGGTTTGCCCAAGTTTGTAACCTGGCGACAAAATAATAACAAAATAATAATAACAGGCAAGTACGACAGTTAGAATGTAATTTAATATATGCATGCAAAACCACAAACAAAAAAGTATGATGTTTAAGGTTAGGAAAATAAGGAATCTAAGAGTCCAAAAAAAATAATAATAGAATATATATATATATATATATATATATATATATATGGCATATTTTTAAAGAAATGTTATCTCATTTTATGTTATTGTTATCAAACTTCAACTCTGAAAACTCTACTGACACAGTTTTAATCTACTAGAACAGGGGTGGCCAACCCTGTTCCTGGAGAGCCACCTCCCTGCAAGTTTCAGTTGCTACTCATATCAAACACACCTGAACCAATTAATTAGGACCTGAACACCACGTGATAATTACAGCCAGGTGTGTTTGATATGGGTTGCAACTGAAATCTGCAGGAAAGTGGCTCTCCAGGAACAGGGTTGGCCACCCCTGTACTAGAACGTCTATGTTAAACTGTTGAAACAATCTACATTGTAATACCACTATAGAAATAAAGATGAATTGATTGAATTGAATTACTGTTCATCTTGCAGTTAATTGTTTGCTTTTAATGCAGTCTTCACCAAAACTGTGCACCAAACTGTGCATTGTCTATGCTTGTAAGGCAAAATGGTATGCTTTTAAGACCCAACAGTCTTTTTTCTATCAAGATCTTAGATCAAATATTCAAGTGGTGCTCGCTGCAGAGCCATTTAAGGAGAGCTGAGCTCCAGCGAGGAGGAGCTTAAGCTTGAGCTCCACCTTTTTTGCACTTCTTCTACGAGTGATGTCACTGGGGGTAGGGTTAGGGGTGGGCTTGGTGTACACATTAAAACAGCTTACAGGAGGAGGAGCGACAGCTCATGCTCCCCCTCGCTGGAGCTCAGCTCTCCTCAAATGGCTCTGCAGCGAGCACCCTCTCCAAAATATTGCTGTTTTGATTATATTTTTTTACTAAAATTGCTTAATATATGACATTTTTAAAAAACGTAACAGTTTTAAGCAATTTTTTCTTGTTTTATGGACCAATAGTATTTATTAGAGACTAGATATTCTTTTTGTTTGTAGGAATTCGTTAAAAAAAAAATTTTATTATACTGTAAGTAATTTATTTGCCTCGACCCAAATTTTAAAAACACAGAAGTGAGCCAAAGTGCTGTACAGAAATATACAACAAAATAAGCATATTAGTATATAAAATACACAAAATACAAGATTAAAATAAAGCTAAACTACCTAAAAAGGCATATGGATTAAAATAACCAGTTATCAACATCAGTTGTCAAATGCCAAGGAAAAAAAGAGTTTTAAGAGCTGATTTAAATGAGAACATGGAAGAGGCCTGTCTAATGGGCAGCAGCAAATAATTCCAAAGTCTAAGACCTACCACAGCAAAAGCACAATCTCCTCTAAACTTACACTTCTAAATGGTACAATCAGGAGAACCTGATCAGCTGACCTAAGAGAACGAGTGGGCTAATAGGGGTGCATGAGCTCAGAGATAAGGTGGGGCAAGACCCTTTAGAGATTTAAAGAGAAATATAAAAAAAATCTTAAACTGTATTCTAAAATTCACTGCAACCAACTTTCACTCTAAAATGTGTTGATGATCATTTCCCAAAAGGATTGAAATATGACAGAGAAGTCAGCAGTTTATTGTATCTGCACTATTTAAGATGATCACATTTAGAGTAAATTGTTACCAATTGTAGAATTGGTGAGGGACACAGAAAACAAGACAATAGGGTGTTGAAATGCATTAACGTCCAGAACACACCAAGGAGCCACTTCCTTTACATCTAAATGCAGTAAACTAAAACTATATAAAAAGATTGAGTTTAAGAATGTTCTGGGTTCATTCTGACTCGGGCTCGTCATTTATTTTCTTATAATGCTTTAACTAAATGTAAGATCTATGTTCAAAAAAGGGCATTTTTTGCAGTGTAATATTCACCCTGAATTCATAGTCAATTGGACTTCCGACATCACCTGCCATCTTCATGGCACTCTCTCCTTTAACCTCTCCAGTAAAGAAGACCTGAGATGGCTTGGCTACCCTGCAGATAATACATGATGAAAGTTGAAGTTACAAAGATAGAACATTGATAATACAAACCAAAAAAATGATAGCGGTTAGCAAACCTACCCTGAGAGGGACAACAGCAGCTGGATCTTAACAATGGCTTTGGCTTTGACTGCTTGCAATTGCTTCTGTTCACTTGTCCTGCAAATTACAACACTTCAAGTCACATACATTTTTTATAGAAGTCAGTAGAGATTGTTTTTAAAGTGCATTCAGATCAGTTCATTCCTTTGAAAAAAAGTTCAATATTTAGAGTTATTTAGATGGAACAGAAGCACAAGTCTATGAATCCTGATATGTTAAAGGTAAATTAATGTACTGAATTAAAATGATGCTTTTGTCAAGAGTTACTACTCACGTTTTGAGTTTAAGGTCGATTTCAATTTCAGTGGTATCCAAAGAAATTCCTCCCGTGCTCAAAATAATGTAAAATGTTGTCTGAAACAGAAATAATAATTATTATTATTAATGTAAAGGCCACAACATAAATTAAACTAGCTGTTTTAGTTATTATTTTAGTGACCACTAAAACTATTGATAGGAAAAACATTTTACAATTCACAATAAATGAAAAGTGAAATTAACAACTGAATTAAAATAATAATTAGCAAAAGTATAAGTCATTCTGAGAGCTAATAAACACTCATTCTGTGGTGAAAATCTGACCTGCAGAAGTTAGAGTAATACTATAACTCAGGCCCGTAGCCTGTAGCCACCCACCGACTGATAAAAGGATTTGTCCCATACATGAGCTCATTTGTCTTATTTTCAGTGCTACACAATTATAAACTGTGAAGGCATCAAAAAGGCTTCCAATAAATGCAAACAATTATAGTCTGACTTTCAGTCAAAACAAAAAAAACAATATATATTTATTTCTAAAAATTTTTGCAAATGTTTTTGATACCTCAAAAAGTTTGGTTATGATGACCATCCGGCAAGCTAATCCAGCTAAAAATAGTGCTAAAATGTCAGTAAACTGCATATAAAATAATAATAATATAATTAATATAAAGAATAAGGTGAATAACTGCAAAAAGGTCCACTTTTAGAGATAAAAGAACCACCCTATTCACCAGGCTGGCTATGTGCCTGATAGATGGTGTTTCACATCCAAACACCTCAGTCAAGCACATGATTATATACAAAAGCATCTTACAGTACAAATAAAACATGTTTTATATGTTCTTAATATTAAATAAAAATTCAAAATGGGCAAAAACATAATTAACGTATTCAAATATACTTGAGATGCTCACCTCAGCATCCTTTTTGAATGGATTTCCAAGGTCACAATCTGCTTGTGAGCCATTCTGATTGACTAAACAGCTGATCTGTTTATCCTGTAAAGAGTCCGGAGTTATGACAAGCACGTTCTTTAAGGGATAGTTCACCCAAATATTTAAATGTACTCACTATTTACTCACCTTCAAGTGATTTCAAACCTTAATGAGTTTCTTTATTCTGTTAAACACGATATAAAACATTTTGAACAAAGCTAAATCCTCAAAACCATTATTTCTACATGCTATGAAAGTTTATAGTTACAGGTTTCCAGCTTTCCTTAAAATATCTTTTTAGTGTTCAACAGAAGAAAGGAAGTCTAACAGCTTTGGAACAAGTAATGTATGAGTAAACAGTTTTGGGTGAATATCCCATTAATATTATATGATGACAAAAAAAAAGACTAATGACTTGTTAATCTTGCAGTTGAACTTACACCAGACTGAGTGCGAACAGCAGAATAAGAGAGGGATTTGGGGAATGAGGCAGTCAACTGTGTTTCATAAGCATCTTCGCCCAGGTTGACTGCTTTAATCTCCAGGGCAATTTCCTTCTGATCGCTAAGAGACAGGATAGGAACTCCTTTTTCTCTGTGAGAAATATAAATTGAAGTTTTTACATTTAGGGGGCATTCAATAATTCAATAAGAAGATAAAATACATACAGTTGTTAGGGAAGGGGGTCCTGGTTTTGTTCACAGGAGTTCAGTTAATTCCAGAAGTTTAAACACATTTTACATGCCACTGTCTGTTGCTGTTTGCATAATCATTCATTCATTCATTCATTCATTTTCCTTCAGCTTAGTCCCTTTATTCATCAGAGGTCGCCACAGTGGAATGAACTGACAATTTATCCAGCATATGTTTTAAACAGCGGGTGCCCTTCCAGTTGCAACCAAGTACTGGGAAACTGCCATACACATTCACACACATACACTATGGGCAATTTAGTTTATTCAATTCACCTATACTGCATGCCTTTCTACTGTGGGGGAAACCAGAGCACACTAATTGCATATACTGTATATAAAAACGAATGCTTGTACTTTGAACAAGAAGGGAGTCCACTCTGACATACAGAATGAACAATATGATATAATATTGACAAAATGAAAATAAAAACTCACTCGTCAAAGGGAAAGAAGTTGTCTTTGTTTGGTTCCCTGGTGTGGAATTTATACTGTAGCTGCAGGTCACTTTGGCACAGATGGTCAGCACCGCATCCTTCCTTGATAAATTGAACCTGAAGGCCAATAAGATTCAGTTAACACCCGATTAGATGTGTAATTATGTATATGGTTTGCAGGTTTTGGTACTGTATAATTCAGTTCCAAGTAAAAAGCAGAGGATTTACTTGAGCAATATTATAGATTCATAATTCTTTCATTAGAGAGTGAATGAAAATAAATGATCTTGACTTCTTCAAAAATAATAAAAATTGGCTTCACAATGCATGGTTAACCTTCCTGTTGTCTTTAAATTCCGTATACATCGTTTGCTCTTTGGATCAAAAATGACCCACCTTCACTAAACCTCTAAAATAAAGCAGCTACATTTAATTTCAGTCCTCAAATCTATTTTACATGAAGAAACAACATGATCTTCATTACAAACTCTGTAAATGTCTAGGGGTTTTCCCTCATTAGTGTGGAGAATTTAATTAATGTTTTGTTAGTGGCCAACACTAGGTTTTGACTAACATAAAGGGTATATTTTCTCATGCTAAAAGTATCCCTGCAGAAAAAAGTTTCAAAAATTCAATCAGCAGATTTTTATTGTGTGTTTGTGTTTAAAAAGTGTGTGTGTTTGAATGAGGATATTTGTGCCACTAGATTTTGTTATGTAAAAATGGTTTTATAATTAGTGGATTAAAATTTACACAAAGGACAACCGTTGTACCCTAAATGTAAAAATTATAAATTTTTTGTAATGTTTTTTACTGCTGTTAAAATGATGCCCGGGTCATTTTTGACCCTTACTGTACGTCAACAGAAGGGTTAAACTAATGACACTAATTACGCTATTTAAAATAGCTTATTTCGTTGCATTTTAGCATTCTTTAAAATGTTTGGTGTAATGTTAGTGCATAAATATATAATATATAACTCTATTCTAGTGGTTTTTATATTTTTAATCGAAAAAAAAAAAAAACTGCTGTAATGCTATAGGAAGTATTTCTTTAGTGCCAAGTGAGCATTTAGGGATGAATTCTGAAGAAACACAACACTGAATACGGGAGTAATTATGTTGAAACAGGCATTTTAGAATATTGAAACCTCATTTTACATTGTAATTATTTTACTCTTTTACTGCATTTTCCTCTTTAAAGCCTTATCAAATATCTTAATGATATTCAAAAAAAAGTGTATTATTTAAAAAAAAAAAAAGGTTTACAAACGTCTAGTTTTTACAATTCTCCTCTGTTTACCATATTATAGCATTGTCCAACTTATTAAAATGATTTGTAAGGTAAACCGTTTTTTGTGATATTCTTTTTCTAAATACACTATTGCAGCTAATGAAACAAAAGTGTTGCAGGTCCATAAACAGTTTACTTCAGCATTGAAAAATTAGGTGAAATATATTCATATTCTGATTATGGTTTACAGTTGAAAAAGAAGTCACAAAATTCATTATCATTAACTGCTTTAGAACATATTGTATATATTTTTTTACCATGGCCACAGTGGTGGCTTCTTGGTTCGAGTCCAGGATGGGAAGAAGGTTAGGGAGAGCAGCCTGTCTTCTCCTGCGTTTGTTTTGATTCAGGATCTCCACAGACACTTCAATAGGAATGCCTCTCAGTTTGTCTTTTAGGGTTTCCTTTGTACACACATAACATACTTGCATTACTGAAAAACGATAGCATGATCCATTGTTTGCATTGTGATACCTTTCCATTACTAAAGCTTCATTTCTTCCTTTAAAAAAAAAATAATAACAAATTTTGTCATCATTTACTTATCCTGTGTTCAACAGAAGAAAGTAACTTTAACAGTTTTGGAAAAATTGGAGGATAAGACATACTGAAAAATATTGGGGAAAAACATATAGTATAATTTTGTGTTCCTACTATGCATGTCAATAGCTGCTTTTTACATCACTCTGCGGAATATGTCTTTTTGTGTTCACCAGAAGAAAGAAATGCTTAAACATTAAGGAAATTGTTTTATGAACTATCCCTTCAATGCAGAATATTTAAAAAAAACTATTGATTTCATCACCACTAGATGGCAGTAAATCAATTCTACACTGAACATGAACTGATCTACACCAGGGATGTTCAAACTTGGTCCTGGAGGGGGGAGGCGGCAAGATGGCGCCTATGTAAGACGTGGTTTTAGTAGCTCTTAAACCTTATCTGCAGTTCTTGACCTAACTTGCTCTCATGACTGTAAAATAATAATAATATAGCGTAACGAATTTGATACTTATGAACCCTACTTTTTAAGAGTGTTTTTTTTGTGTGTGTGTGTACAACAAGTGGATTTATGAACATTGACGTAGCTCGCTTGTTACCCATCTGATATAACGTAGGCCTAGAAACAAGGAAAAGTTATTTCAGCTTGCTATGGAAGACGCTTTGGCAGTAAAGAGACAACATAGCTATACCAAAACAACGGAGGAAGATTTTGATTCATCAACGCTAACGTTACCTGAAACTCCGACGAAGAGTCCAAACGCAAAGATGCGACGCCACACAGACGATCCATCTAATGCAGTTATCTTGGAAGCAATTGAAAAATTGGCCAAAAAACAAGATGATTTTTTGGAGAAATTGGTGGCAATTGAACAATCTGTTTCAAACAACTCGAGCCGCATCACCGAACTCGTGTCTGAAATAGACACGATTGCTAACAAAGCTGACTTAGCCGTTGCCAAATCAAGTGAGATAAAGGATCAAGTTACATCCTTAAAAACAGAAAATAAACAACTCTGGCAAAAGTTGGACGAGCTTGAGACCTACAAAAGGCGGTGGAATCTTCGGATTGCTGGTATCCCTGAAGTAGAAGGAGAAAACGTGAAAATGGAGGTAATGGAAATACTGCGGCTTGTTTCACCGTGTTTGACTGATGTTCTGCAATCCTCAATTGACGTTGCTCACAGACTCGGTAAGAAAAATCTGACACATCCTCGTCGCATCATTGTGCAGTTCATGTCTCGTACGCACCGTGACCTCATCTGGACCGACGCGAAGCGCTCCGAAATCCTCAAACAAAAAAATATCAGAATAACGGAGGACTTGACACAACGTGCAAGAGATGCTCGGAACAAACTGTGGCCGCTTGTCAATCAAGCTAGACTGGAAGGTAAACGTGCAGGGTTTCAGGGCTCCACGGCTGTCATTGACGGGAAAAAAGTCACTGTGGACGATATTTAACTGACACACTTGCACTTTCTAATGTTAAAAACTTACACTCTCTTTGTTTTTGCTAAATGTTGGGTTCTTTTTTCAAACTAGAAAATCGAAAATATGTTTATGATGAGGAGGTCTGGACAAGTGTTGCACTCATCTTTTTTCTTTACTCTAAATTGTAAAAGACGTTCTTCTACAGTAGTTTTACTACTTGAATAGTTTCAGAACTCGTTCAAATTGTTATTTCATGTCATTTAGTTTGTCTTGTTTTTCACTTAATGTTAGGGGAATTAGGGACTTAACTAAACGTAAAGCTTTATTTCTTTTTTGTAAATCAAAAAACAGAGATGTCTATTTTTTGCAGGAATCACATTCAAACGTGAAAGATGAATCTTTTTGGTCGAACCAGTGGGGGAGAAAAATTATGTTTTGTCATGGTTCTAATAACTCAGCCGGGGTTATGACTTTATTTAATCCACAGTTTAATAACACCTTACTTGAATCGCATTGCTCAAATGTAGGCAGGTGGTTAATCACTGTAACTCAGTTTAAAGAAAACATTGTTATTCTTACAAATGTATACGGCTATAATCGGCCCAATCTTAACACCGTGTTCTTTTCAGATTTAACTGTTAAACTAGTTTCTTTAAAAATAAAATATCCATCCTCAACAATCATTACAGGTGGGGACTTTAATGAAGCTCCTGACCTTTGCTTTGACAGATTTCCTCCAAAATATGACAATAATACACCCAATAAAATTATTAGTGATATTTGTTCTAATCTTTCTTTGGTAGATATATATAGACTTTTACACAACGACATTTCCTCTTCTTTTACCTGGTTTAAATCTGACCTGACTCAGAAATCACGTATAGATTTTTGGTTAATTTCTGATAGTTTGATTTCATCTGTTAAATCTTGCAGTATCTCCACAGCCCCATTAACCGATCATGCAGGAATTGAACTAGAAATTTCAAATTTTATCTGTAATTCATCAAGAAAACCTGGATATTGGAAATTAAACACCTCTCTATTACAAAACTCTGAATACTGTTTGGGGATTAAAGGCATAATTGACTCTTTTAAAAAAAACACAATCAACTCTCATATCTTAAACTGGGAATTATTAAAATTTGAGTGTCGCAATTTTTCAATCAAATTTAGTAAAAAATTGTCAAATTCTAAGGGACTATATTATGAATCCTTAGTAAAAGAAATTAATCATTTAGCATGTATTACTTCCCAATCTGACACAGAGACAGAAAAATTATATACATTAAGAGAAAAACTAAACACTCTCTATATGGAAAAGGCAAAAGGGGCTTTTATTAGATCTAGAGCCAAATGGCTAGAAGCTGGTGAAAAGAATTCGGCATACTTTTTTAACTTAGAAAAAAAACGGGGTGAAACGAAAAAAATTTGTTCTTTGTATATTGATAACAATGTAGTAACAGATGAAAAGACTATTTCAAAATTTGTTTCAGATTTTTATCAAAAGTTATACACATCTAATTTTAACTCTGACTCAAGTGACCTTTTTTTTAGTAAATTAAAGCATTTTATTCCTTGCATAAGTAAGATTAATAAAAACCTTTGTGAAGAGGAAATGTCTTTAAGGGAACTGGATGATATTATTAAAAAAACGCCTTCCAACAAAAGTCCAGGACCTGATGGTCTGCCTTTTGAGTTTTATAGAGTTTTCTGGGAAGATATAAGAGACTTAATTTTAAACATGTTTAATGAATGCGCTACCAATGGAGAACTTACAGAATCTATGAAACAGGGAGTAATTACTTTGATTCCAAAACCGAATAAAGATACTCTTTACTTGGATAATTGGCGTCCAATTACGCTACTCAACTCCGATTACAAATTACTAGCATCATTATATGCTACTAGGTTAAAACCATGTTTGGAGGAAATCATATCTCTCTCCCAATCTGGATTTATGAAGGGAAGAAATATTTCAAATAATATTAGATTGGTATTAGATCTGTTGGATTACTCAGAGTTAGTAAATGAGGAGGCTTTAATTTTATTTTTAGATTTTTACAAGGCCTTTGATACAGTTGAACATAGTTTTATGTATCAGACACTTAATTATTTTGGTTTTGGCCCAACATTTAAAAAAATGATGAAGACATTTTATTATAATATTTCAAGTAGTGTTTCTTTATCCAGTGGTACTTCTTCTCGTTTTATTATTCGGAGAGGCATAAGACAAGGGTGCCCAATTTCACCATTTTTATTTTTATTAGTTGCAGAAACCCTAAATCTTTATACTGTACATTGTTCTCAAATTAAAGGTATTGAAATAGGAGGTACCACATTAACTATCAGTCAACTTGCAGATGACACCTGTTTATTTTTGAAAAATAAAGATCAGGTCCCAGTTATTTTGAAGGCTTTTAAGCTGTTCTCTGATGCATCAGGTCTATTAGTTAATCAATCCAAAAGTGAAATAATGGCTATACACCAAATAGACGATTTAAGTATAGCGGGAATACAAGTTAAAAAGACAGTAAGATATTTAGGTATTGTAGTTAATAAATCAACCTCAGAACGGATTACAGACAACTTTTCACAAAGGCTACAAAAGACAAAAAATATCTTTAATTGCTGGCTTCAAAGGAATTTATCAATTCAAGGTAGAGTGCTGATCTCAAAAGCTGAAGGCATTTCCAGACTTGTATACCCTGCACTGTCTCTTTATGTAGATTCTAAGATGTGTACCACAATTGAGAAAGTTTTATTTAAGTTTATTTGGAGAGGCAAAACAGAGTATGTTAAAAGAAAAACAATAATTAGGAATATATCAGAAGGAGGATTAAATGCATTAGATTTCGAAACTATTAACAATATCTTTAAAATCAATTGGATCAAAAATTGTCTTCATAACAATAATTCCTTATGGTTCTCTATCCCAAATCTTATCTTTGAAAAATGTGGTGGCCTACACTTTTTGCTAACTTGTGATTTTAAGTGTTCTAAAATTCCTATTAAGATGTCAAATTTTCATAAACAAGCCTTGAATACATGGAAACTGATTTATAAGCATAACTTTTCCCCCCACTCATGTATTATCTGGAACAATCAGTATATTTTATTTAAAAACAAGTCCATATTTTGGAATGATTATGTTAAAAAAGGAGTAATTTTTGTTACAGACTTATTAAATCGTGTAGGGGATTTATATGATTACAATGAATTTATTAATAATTTTGGTTTAAAAATTACTTTGATTGAATACAAAAAATTTGTTCATTGTATTTCCCCAAAATTACTTCACCTTATTAAAACCGCAAAAATATATAACCATGTATCTGGCTCTCACCCAGAGCTTACTATTAAGGGCCTTTCTATCAAAGATAAAAAATGTAATAACAATTATATCAGGAATATCCTAACTGCAGATAAAAGTGTTCCTCCAATTGCAATGGTTAAATGGAAACAAGCATTCCCTTCATTCTTCTTTTCCCCAAAAATCTGGTCAGATATTACAAAATACATAATTCCTAATAAAGTAAAAGAAACAAATTTTAAAATATTACATAGATATTATCCATGCAATGATTTTATAAGTAAGTTTAAGGAAGGTTTTTCACCATTGTGTTGTTTTTGTAAAAAGGAACCGGAAACAATTCTTCATTTATTTTTCAGTTGCAGTTACACAAAACAGTTTTGGTCCCAAGTTTCCTTACTACTTTTTGAAGTGTTTTATAAATTAATCAGTATAACTGAGCAAATGGTTTTTTTTACGGATTGCAACTCTGGATTACTGGAAATGGACAAAATAGCAAAAATTCTTATTTTATTTGGAAAGTATCACATCCACAAAACAAAATGTATGCTGACTGTACCAAATTGTAAACTATTTTTCATTGATCTAAAACTTTTTTATGATTCCCTCACTGCTATACAAAGTAATACCAAAGCTATTAAGACATCTCAACTACTGGAGAAAATACTTAATGTACACGATTAATTTTTGTTGTTAATTCCATTGTATACTGTTTTATGTACAACTCTGTACATCCCTGTTTGTTCAATAAAAAAAAAAAAATAAATAAAAAAAAAAAAAAAAAAAAAAAAAAAAACTTGGTCCTGGAGGGCAGGTGTCCTGCAGATTTTAGCTCCTACTGGCTTCAACACACCGGCAGGGATGTTTCTAGAAAGCCTAGTAGGAGCTTGATTAGCTAGCCCAGGTTTGTCTGATTGGAGTTGGAACTGAACTTTAAAGGACAATGGCCCTCCAGGACACTCCAGATTTACACTTACTAACCATTTCAATATGTTCAACACAAATATTTAATCTGCCAATAACATGATAGCAACTCACTTCATTTAAGCACATAGATGTGTTTAAAAGGAATGACCTGTTGAAGTTCAAACCAAGCACCAGGAAAGAATGGTGATTTAAGTGACTTTGCTGAACCGGGTACTTTAAAAATGTTGTTGTTACTGTCATTTTCAAACACAAATATATCTAAGGCTTACAGAAAATGTTTTTAAAAAAAAAGAAAACATCCAGTAAGCAGCAGTTCTGTGGGCAAAAAATGCCTAGTTGATGCCAGAAATCTGTAACCGCTATTTGATGCTATCATGCCAATATGGACTAAAATCTTTGAGGAATGTGTATAAAACCTTGCTGAATTTATGCCACAAAGAAGGCAAAAGGAGGTGTAATCCAGTACTAGTGTTCAAGGTTTAGCAAATAAAGTGGCTTGCGAGTGTATTGTGACTTCTGAAATCCTAATTTCTTGTAATCAATTTTATGTGACTCGGACAATGTTCTTTTACTATGTAGCCTATATGAAAAGCTGTATTTTAAAACGTTTTTATTGATACTTTACATTATTTCCCAGCATATGCTGGTAATCTAGGTGTTGAGACATAGATACTGGTTTAAGCTGATTTTTGCTGGTCATGAGGTTGTTAATGCTGAGTCTTTGCTGACCATCAAAAACCAGCAAAAAACAGCATGTGACCAGCAAGAACCAGCACACTACCAACAAAGAAAGATCATAATCCAGCTTATAACCAGACCCAACTTAAACAAGTTCATGACAAGCTAAAATCATCTCAAACTAGCTCAAGACCAGCTAGATCCAGCTTAAACTAACTAATGACCAAATAAAACCAGCTAGAATCAGCTCATGACCAGCTAGATCCAACTTAGACCAGCTCATGACCAGCTAGATACAACTTAAACCAGCTTAAACTCACTCATGAACAGCTAGAAGCAGCTTTAACCAGCTCATGACCAACTAGAACCAGCTAGATCCAAGTTAAACCAGCTCATTGACAGCTAAAACCAGCTTAAACAAGCTCATGACCAGCTAAACGCAGCTTAAACCAACTCATAACCAACTAGATCACAGCAACCATGCTGTTTAAACAGGCATAACGACAATTATTACAAATAGAAACGAATGAAAATATGATCTTAAGTTGTTATTAAGTAAGTTTCGTACCTGCAGCATGAGATTTCTGTAGATGCAGCTTTCTGTGCCTTGACCCTTGAGCTCCACAATCCCAGTGCTTTCATAATCATTGTTTGAGCGTGGATTAAAAATGACTCTAGAAGGAAGATTTAGTTTTTTCCTTTCAGATTCAACCCTGATGGTGTATGCCACCTCTAAAGAAGATGAGGAAAAATAATATGGAGATGATCTTCTGCTCGACAGAGATGAACAACCGCTGATTAATTTACTGATAAGTAAGTTAGACATGTACTTACTCAGAGTTGGATTGTAGGTTTTGGGTTTGACAGAAAATTTGAAGCAGGCTTTCACATCAAGGCTAGAACACACAATCAAAATCTACTTCAGACAAGCTCTGTTTAGTAATATGTTGAATGATTATTTTGTTCATAGTTTTCTCACCATATATTGTTTCCATTGTTGCAGTTTTTCTTAGTGAGGTCTAGCTCTTTCGGTGTGGTGGTGACAGTCTTTTCAATATTGATAACGGAACGCGACCTATAGTATATACAACATAATTAATGCATTTAAGGTTAAATGTTTTATCTGTACATTTAAAAAAAAAAGATTTTGTAAAATATTAATTCACCAATTTTTCATTCACATGTGTTTGTTTATTTACTTGTGTAAATTGACCTTTATTGACATTTTTATATCGTGAAAGAAGTATATACATGTGAACCATTTTTTACTTGACCAATGCAGAGAATATGATTTCAAATGAATAAATGTTAATAAAAATGTCTTTGTTAAACTTTTCAACATCAAAGCTTGTCAGAGCAGAGATCAGCCTCAAAATGAATTGTAAAAAATAGGAAAAACTGAAAACTAATTATGTTTTACAGTGCTCAATGAATAAAAGAATGTGTGGCTGCTCTATGCAATTTTATAAAATAATAATAAATAAATCTTAAAATAAAATATTATTAAATATTCAATAAAATATAAAATCGTATGATCAAAGATGATTGATGATATTATTAAATTAAATAAACTGTATTATCAATATGGTATTGTCCTGTCCATCAGTAGGATCATACCTGTACACAAACACTGAATCAGAAAGAGATCCAATGGCCAGATCAGGGTAATTATTTCTGTCCAGATCCATGTTCCCAGCAAGAGAGTATCCAAAGAGTTTCACATTGTGATCTTTTCCTCCAAGAACCTTAAATTATCAAAGAACCATTCATAAAAAAGTGTATGGAAAATGTGTCAATAAGTAAACAGAAAGTAAAGTGGATATATGGCTGCACCTGGGATTTTTTCAGTCCTTGTGGTGAACCGTGGAAGATAATCACGTTTCCAGCTCCATTGCTGTCATATGGGGCGCTAACAGCAACATCTGAAGATACAGTATAGGTCACATTAAAAAATAATTTAAATGAGTGCAATTGGTTCTGCTTTAATAACATGTGGCAAGATATGTTTTAATATGTTTGCATTAGTTGTATTCATAACACATACTGAACACATACCTTGATATCCATCCAGATTCACATCTCCCATGTTTTCCACAGCCAAACCAAACATGGAATAAGCAGGTCCATCAATTCTCTTTGGAGTAATCTTGTCCCAAGCTCCTTCCTCGTTAAGGTAAACATAGATTGCTCCACCAATATCACCATCTTTAATGAAGTACTGAGGTGCTCCAACTACAATGTCTTGCCACCTGTTTTAAGAATCAGTTCAAATAATTATGCTTCTGGAATAGTGTATTTATAAAACTAAAGGTTAATAAAACTTAAATGTTTTGTTATTAACACAGAAATACTTTAATTAAATTATATTAAAAATATAGATAAAAAAAAAACTTGCAGTACATCTATTAAACTATATTGATCTTTTGTTAATAAAGCTGTAAAAATGTGATAAGATGAATAAATAATAAATAAATAGATAAATAAATAAATAAACAAATAAATAAATGAATAAATAAAACAAAAATGTTTTTTTTTTAATTAATTAAACTTTAAAATTCGGTTAAAATAAACATATATAGAAAAAAAAGATGTGTAAAAGAACATTACAACATTACAAAACTGATAACTAAAATGATTATGAAAAAGTAAAAAAATAAACATAGCTAATCTCACAAAGCTAAATCACAAAAATATCAATAAAAATACAAATAAGGCAAAATAATCCCAATTTCTATTAAAATAAAATAAATTAATATAATGTATAATTTTTACCCATCTCCATTGATGTCAAGCACTGCAAGGTCATAACCAAAGGAAGAGGCAAGTCCACTACCCTCTAGGGTGTACTCAGCCGTCAACAAGGAGGATTTAGCCTCATCCTTCTTTAAAAGCACAACTGCCCCACTGTGATTGGCTCTTGGAGCCCCAGCAACTATGGTCAACTGACCTCTCTTAGTCAGCATTTTTCCAGAATCCAAAGAGAAACCTGAAGCAGATAAAACCAATTAAGCTGGGTCAGCAGATTTGGCAATAAAAAATAAAGTTACATTGCAAAAGTTTTCATACCCTTTTCTATGACACTTGATTTAGCTCAAGAGCATTCCAAGCTCATCTTTGAGATCTTAATAATGATAATTGGTTGTGGCAAATTCAATTGACTGTACATGCTTTGGATAGTTAAACACCTGTTTATATAAGGTCTAATAGCTGAGTTTGCACATCACAACTTGCAGAGGTGAGAGAAAGAGCTATGTTGAGATGCTTGTCTGAGCGCACCATGATTTAAAAAAAGACATTTAATAAGACATCCAAACATAGGCATCTTGGCTTCAACAAGGCTACATTTTAGTTGTCAGTGAAAATATACATCTAATACACATCTAACAACAGCCAAAAAATAGACTAGTCATTAAAAATACAGATTAGACAAACCTCACGTGTAGTCATTCATCACAGTGTATTTGAAGACTAGTCTGTTTTTTTGACTATTATTAGATTGGATTTTCACTGACAGACCACATTTGGCCTTGTTTTAGCCTGGACATCTATGTTTGGATGTCTATTATACATTTTTTTTAACACACACACACACACATAAAATGCTTGCTGGGTTGCTAATGGTTGCTCTGGTTGTGCTACATTATCATGTATGCAAAACTCCACTGATCTGGGGTTTCATTTATAAACTTTGCGTAGAAACCTACCTAAAAATGAATGTAGCCAGAATAAATTTATCATTGTTTATTAATTATTATTGCTCATATGATGACTTAAATTGGTTCAATTAACTCAGTATTCCAGCTGAGTATGTTTACTCAAAATTTATTTAGAGATTCTCCTGTCAAGTTTGTTTTTTTATAGATCCCAATTTTTGCGCGGGATGTCTTTTGTGCTTGTGCCACATTTTTAAATGAGAATGCTGGTCTTTATGGAGGAGCGTTTAGATCCAAGCTTCTCCTCAGTTAATATACATGACAATCAGCTTAGTATGTGTAAAGACACCTATAAACAACTTGCAGACTGTGAGAAAAAAGGTTCTCAACCCTGATGAACCTCAGATACGAGCAACATGAAAAACGAGCATCTCTGACATGAGCATAATGAGGAAACCAGACCCCTGCACAATGTCATCCCAACATGAGTCTGGGCTTCAACCCAATCAAACTTCTTCTTTTCATCTTTTTTGCACAAACTTAAATATGGCCGTCCACTGACAGTCCTCATCAGTCTAGCAGAGTGTGAGATGGTACACAGAGAAAAGTGGCAGAAAACTTCCAAATCCAGATCTGCAAAAATCTTGCCACATCAAAACCAATTGTTGTCAAATCTGTTTAACCAAGTACTCAGTTCAGGGCATGAATGCTTTTACAATGTCATTTTTCCATTTTAATAAATTTGCTAAGTCATCATAAAGCAGCTTTTCGCTTCATCTTCATGGTGTGTGGAGTTTAGTTTGATGTGGGTAAAAAGTCATTAAACGCTGAATAACAAAGCTGTGACATTATACATGTGACCCTGGACCACAAACCAAGTCATGAGTGTCATTTTTGTTCTATTAATCTGTTTTTCATTAATGCATATTTTGTTGGGAGAGGGCAATATTTGGCTGACATGAAAATCTGAGGAATCTGAGGGTTCAAAAAGTACTAAATAATGAGAATAACCTTTAAATCTCCAAATAATTTGCTTAGCATTGCACATTACTAATCAAATATAAGCTTTGATATATTTAAAGCATCAAATCTAAAAATAATCTTCCTAAACAATTTCTAGATTTTTGATCCATCTAATCTATTCTTTGGTATTTCCAAAACATAGACCAGTACAACGACTGATTTTGTGGTGCAAGGTCACAAATGTAAAAAGAGGTGAGTATGAATATTTTTACACAGTATGTATAAAAATGCATACTCAGTAATGATGAAATTTGCAATGTTTAAACACATTAACAATGTGTATTCAGATTGACTTGGATACTCCATATTTTTTCTCCATGCAATATCAATGTAAAAAAAACAGTAATAAAAAGACAGTAATAGTCATGCTTATAAGTGTCAAAACATAGATGAATGTACATTCACATTTGTTCACGTAAATTGACAGGATGTGTAACAACTGATGTGATGACAGGCTGTATACAAATCATCACCTTGGAATTATAAGGTTCTATCTGCATTCTGAATGATTTTGAGATATTAAGGTTAAAAGTTTTTGCATTCCATAGCAAACAGTATGTGTGTAACATTTATTTTTTTAAATAAGAAAATCTTAAAATGTAAAGAACTTATGTAAAAAAAAAACATCCTATAATGTAAATAAGTTGTCAATTAACAAGAATATGTCAATAACTCAATTTTGACAAAAATGTCAGATAGACCCTAATAATTCTAAGGTGACAAAATGTCTAATAATGTTGCCATCCAGGAAACGCCACAAACCTAAATAGCTATTTGATGCCACATAAGAAACATTCTCCTTTGGCACCTGAAGGGGAGGTGACTGATACACAAACTGATCAGGATGGTTACTGGATATGCTAGTCAAGAACAGAACACCTACAGTTGCACAAACAAGATTGATACCAAATAAAGCACAGACTTACAAAGAAGATTATCTGTCGATGCTACACCTCATATCCTATCAACTGATTGAAGCTAACTGTACTGAAAGGTTTATATTTTCTAAATCACAGTAATATTCTTTAGTGTGACACAAAGTCACACGATGAACCAAGGTTCAGGGGATCAGGATCAGTTTTAGGGTGATGTGAATGATGAATGGAATGTGATGATGGACTCACCTAAATAACTGTTAGCAGGAACAGGGACCAGTTCTGCATCAAGTCGGTTTTCATCTCCAACTTCATATGGGCCGTCATCAAAGATATCCTTATCAAACAGAGAGGTGTTCTTCTGCTCCAACCGCACAATTCCTGATTTCCACACACCGGTGGATTAAGTGAACAAGCAAAGGAATAGGTGGAAGGGTTGAGGGTGTAGAATGGATGTAAAGATGGAGACAAAGATGCAAACGTGTGGAAAAGGGAGATAAAGTACAACACGTCAGATGCAATGATGCAACAAAGAAAAGCTGAAATGACATGTCATGAAGTGATGTAGGGAATAATGAGTTGGGGCGTTTCATTTAGAAATTATTTGAAGCGGGGTTTTTACTTAAAATTACATTATATAATATTAATACATGGCTCTCTGGAATACTTGATCATGATTGATCAAACATGACTTTCTAACCTAGAGGTCACCTTGATTTCAAAACTACATTAAAGAGCCCATATTATGGGTTTTTGAAAATGACCTTCCATGCAGTGCGTGACACAGCTCTAAGTGAAGTGAAATGTCCAGACAAGGCTTAAATCTATAAAACAGTCTACTCATAGTGGGTTAAATGAAATGTCAGGGTAACAAATCTTTAGCTGTGTCAATACAGAACTCAAGCCGCGCCCATTTGTTGAAAAATTTAAAACCCAGCCCTGCCCACAAACACAGTGGAAAGAAAACAAATATTGTAGCAGATCCTGGTTGAATCATGTTGCAAAGACGCTGTGCTCTGAAGTGTGAGGGAAAGTTGGTGTTATTTTTCCCTACGCAAAGATGAGGCTGTGAAGAGTCTATTTTAGTGAAGTTTATTTTAGCAAAAATACCTCAGCATTATAGCCCCATCCTTGTGCTGTGTTCCCGTCATTTTTCTGACTCGTGCTTCAAAAAGACTATTGATGTATGGGACTTTGCAGAACTTGACAGGAACTTTACAATACACAGTTCATGGATAATTTTTTCGTCCATTGAGTGTAAGTAACTTAAGTGCGATTAAAATGGTTGCCTCCTTGTTTTCTCTAGCTTGCAAATTATGTATTAAATTGTGTTTTGTTACTTGTAGCCACTTGTAATGTATCTGGTTAACACTTTATATTCTCATATCGCGTCTAAAACCACGTTGAAAACGTGACGCTTTATTTATGGATTTAAATGCATTTGTGAGCTCACAATCTACTGTGGTTTGCCATTGCTAAAGCCACAATCAGCTGTTCCAACACACGTGTGGCAGTCAAGTTTCCAAATAGCTCAGCTTTTGCCGCTGTGTGGATTAATACTAAATGTGTGTCACTGTTTTTACTTATGGTTAAGAATATAGCAATATGCTGGTGTTTACTGCATTGTTTTAATGCACTCCTACATTGGGCTCACACATACACTCTGCACTCTACTTCAAAATTGTTGATAAGCCATGGTGGGCATTTCTCTCTGCCTCACGCTGAAAGCAGTCGACCAATCGCAACAGACTGGGTCATCGGACCTATCAGCGCAGACTGGCATCGCACTAAGGAGGGGTTTTGGGAACAAATGAATCACTGAACGAATCATATGGGAGTCGCTAGGATAATTCGGTAAAAGAAATGCACATCATAAGACAATAAAAGTATTTTTTGACCTTGCAAAAAAGCATCAAATACTATTCAAATTTTAACAAAAGTTTAAATAATACAAGCTCTTCCTTTAATACCTTTCCAGTTGTAAGCGCCTGGTGCTCCAAACACCAGATAGTGATAGTCCTTTGTGAATGTGGCGGACATGCCCTGCTGGCATGATCCAAACCGCTCGTGCCCTCTGTTTCTCCCATTGCAGAACATCCAATCCCCTCCATCTTCATCTGAGATCTCATTAATCGTCACATCCTCACTAAGTACATAGCACCGACCTGTCAAGTCACGCAGTTCCTGAACTGAGCCAACAAATAAGCGCCGCTGGTATCGATGTGCACAGACCTGGATTGAGACATTGGGAGTTAAGTTTAAATAGCATTTACTGATAAATACTAAACATACGGGACAATCTACAAGCAATGTTCATTATCTGTCCCTGAAATAAAAACATAAATACAGTGATTTAAGTTTTCATCCCAAAATATTCTAAAATGGACTGATTGTTACGGTTGTTCTGTAAAGGAACACTTTACACTGTACAAACTCTGTCACTGTCCTTGTCCTCAGCCCAATTGAACCTACAGGTTGAATACTTTTGTTATGATAAAAATGCATATATATATATATGGCTCAAAACAGAGAAAAAGTTAACAATAATCAAGGATGCATTCTACTATTGAATTGTATGATTTTGGGCTTGTTTTTCAATCACAATGGTTTTGTGATTGAACTGTACATGCAATAAATGCAAATGTTCATTTTGTGGTTCCACTGCAAAGATAATCTAAGCAAAATTGTTATTGGAGTTGCAAATCCTATGGTTTTGGATATATCACTATCACTATTGGATAACACTATATCTGTGCATGTTAAAAAAGTTCCTTTAAGGCAAGTAATTTCACTCGGCAGACATCTTTGAAACGCCTCCCAGGCAGTATGCTCAGGCATTTTGTCATGCAAGAGGAAACACCAAATTCTCCAAATTTGCTTGCCAAGCTTAAGATAAATTTTATGTAATCAATCACCAAGTGTATTAAACAACAACTGCATCTGTAGTTTTATTTCAGATCACCTCCCTCTGAGGTTTGTCTATATCGATCGCTAATTGGCTCCTGTACTAGAAGGTGGGTCTTCATTCACCATGTTGACAGTTACAGTTTGCTCCAATTAAAACGGTCACACGTCTTGAGTGTCATTTAGATAACACTCTTTATTTTTGTACTGTAATAAAAATAGATTTTTATCCTGTTTAGACAATATATTGTAAGGAATAATGGCTGACTTATTGAAAATAATTACAATAAACTCACATCCTAGGCCACAGTGTGTCCATAACACTAATCGGACCTTGGCTAGAACTAGAAATGTAGCAAGATCTAGTCTAAACTAAACCCTCAAAGGAAACCTCTGGAAAATGTTGAACATCCCCATTAAATATGATTTTTTCAAGCATTTTGAATTACGAGGACACAAGGCATGTCCTTGTACACTACATTAAAGTCGCCATGAAAAGAAGTTAAGACTGTGCTTTTTTCTCTATCAATATGTAGATCCACTTGAAACGGTCCTGCAATTAGAAAGAAAATGTAGGGTGTTGCACGATTTTGTCCTTTGGAAACAGTTGCAAACAAAATGAGAAAAAAAAAAGATTGACAAATGGACAAAAGCAGGGCAGAAATGAGACAAGCCCTGATAACCCCTCTCGAAAGGCATTCCATATGACCAGATATGAAGAAAAGATATTTCCAGGGGACAGGGAATGTTATGATATCTGATTAAAGACCATAAAGAAATATAATAAAAAATACTGAAATGAAAACAAAATAATGAAGTGCACATCACATCTATAGACATAAGTTTAAAAAAAGTATTTTTTTTTTTTGCGTTGCTACCTAGGTCATACCAATGTCATTCATTTATTCCTTCATTTTCTTTTCAGCTTAGTCCCTTTATTAATCCGGGGTCACCACAGCGGAATGAACCACCAACTTATCCAGCTTGTTTTTATGCAGCGGATATCCTTCTCTACCCATCTCTAGGAAATCATACTAATGTCATTATATATTTTTTTCTTCATGTAAACTCAGCCTGATCTCATTAGGAAACGTGACGATTAACTACTATGTTTTTGTCAGTTTAGTGGCTAATTTGTATAAGTTCAGTCAGAGGCCTGGCACACAACCCTATCCCTAAACCTAATTGTCACTGGGGGATAAGCAAACCATACTAAATTGTGTGAATGAGATCGTAAAAATTCATACCAATTAGCCACACCATCAAAAAGGGATGCATTGCCGTGAGAGCATTGGTAAACAACATAAAGAATTAAACCTTATATCTCTCTCTTTCTCTTACCAATATCTTTCCACCAGGACCCTGGCTCTGTACAGTAACTCCCATCCACTGGTTCTCTTTATTTTCAGTCTGCAGGTTTTCTAAAAGCACAAAGTTTCAGTTAACACAAAGTGTAACTCATTATAACATGGCATGCTTTCATGTGTTTGAGATTACCTTCATTGTCAAACATTACTCGCTGGCATGACTGACCAGGAATGTTTATGTCACAGTTGTACAAGCCTCCTGTAATTTTTGACCTCTGATTGGGCAATGCTTTTGCCTTTGGGGAACCAACAAGCAACCTGTAAACCAACAAACAGAAATACTATTGAGCAAGTAATAGTACAGAAAATGCAAAAGTACTATTAAGGTTATGTCTTATTAATCATAGCTGCTAATTTACTTGGAATTTGAATCATAATGTATGCATGGAAAATAATGTTTTTTATATGGTTGTACACACTAAACAGACATAGTTTAATAAGCATAGAACTAAACAGAACCTTAAGTTCTATATTAAGTTAACTAGGGCTCATTAGTTTGACCTGAAGGAATTAAAGGCAACAGGGTTTTTTCCATGCAAATTTCTAGTAAAGTAAACTATTTGGGTTAAGAGTGTAGGTTAATATAATTTTGGGATGAAATGGAGCAATGGTCATCAGAATAGTGGCAGCACTTTGTTTTACAGTCATGTTTCACATGTACATACATGTAGATATAACACAAATAGTATAACCACATACTATCTCTAAATCTACCCCTGAATCTTACCTTAACCTAGGGTTGTCCAAACTTAGTCCTGAAGGGCCGGTTTCCAGTTTAGTTCCAACTCTAATCAAACACACCTGAACTAGATAATCAAGCTCTTACTAGATATAATAGAAATTTCCTGGCAGGTGTTTTGAAGCAATTTGGAGCTAAACTCAGCAGGACACTGGCCCTCCAGGATCGAGTTTGGACACCCCTGCCTTAACCCACACTTAAATGAAACAATTGTATAAATCATTACTTTCACATTGTGTATCAGAGGGGGAAAGACTTCATACAATAATTCAGTTTTTTTTTTTTTTAAAAAACCAAAGAGAAGGTGTTTTCTTTTATGAATAAAACACTGAAAACCTAGGACATCCACTTCTGAAATGATGTATCTCTCATTTCACTTCATTTATGAGAGTGAAAGGCTTTTTCTTTGGATCAACTGGTTCAGAGATAACATTCATACCAACACTTCACAGAGTTCAGCTACACAAAGTTCTCTTTGTGAGCAAAAACAAAAAGAATCTGACTGAGCAAAATCTTCATTTCCACTTAATACCCTAAACAAAATGTGCAAAAAGAGTAAAATGCAGGGCAAGTTCTATTACTCTACACAGATACTACAAACTAATGATTGGATAGATGTGGAGGTAGTTGTGTGCACTGTAAGACCGGACTAATTAAGTCCTTCAGACTTCCTTGTTTGAAACCTACAAGTGAGTGTGTTGAAGAAGGGTTAGAACTAAACTCTGCATGGTTGCGGCCCTCCAGGAACTGCAGTTTGGTATTTAGAAAATTTTCAAAGCAGCTGCCATCATTAACCCAATCACAATCACATAAGTAATAAATAAATTAATTAAATAAACAAACCGTACAAAACAAACAAACAAACAAACAAAAAACAGTCAGCACTGATCCTCGTCAAGTTTGTAATAATAAAAACTAATTAACTAACCTGATTATTTATCATAAAAGCCATCATATTGTAAATACCTCTTTTGCTTACTTTATTAGAAGTTTCCCACTCAAATTCAGTGAGCTTCTGTAAAAGTGTAAGTGCTGTTTAAATGAGAAGATTTTTAAACAAAAGTTTAAAAACTAATTTCTAATAAATAATTAACTTTAACAGTATTCTATTCATACATAATGCTTTCCTTAGAATTAGATCTAGTATGATACTGGCTGACTTTTGAAAAATCAATGTTAAAAATATAAAAAAATATAAAATAAAAAAAGAAAGAAGTCTACTCCTTAATGCAATGTGTCACCTTCCTTTTAATGTTGCCTATCTACAAACCAAAATTAAAAAGTAAAACAATAAAAAAAAGGGTCATTTTTTTGTTTTTAAATAATTCTTAAAAATAAGCATATCAAAAAAAAAAAACATACACACATACATACATACTCTAGATGTTGTTAAAAACACATTTGTCATAATAATTCTACACAAAAGCACACACAGCAATCACAATAAAATTCAAACGCTAATATATAATCTGCCTCATCAAGGCTCCGAAAATAATTTAAAAAATCTTTTACCTAAAACAAAAATCACGAAATGTTTCAAGCACGTTCATGTCTTCTTATGAAATAAAACTGCTTAGTTGCTAAAAAGGCATGTACTGTTTGCTGTTATATGGTCACACAACTACAGGTAAACAAATGCTAGAATGCTGTCGCCTCACAGCAAGAAGGCACTCAAAGGAAACCCACGCAAACACGGAGAGAACATGCAAACTCCACACAGATATGCCAAATGACCTAGCCGAGGCTCGAACCAGTCATCTTCTTGCTGTGAGGTGAGCATGCCACCCACTGGGCCACAGTGATGCCAGATTATATAGATTATTTACTACAATTTCCATCATGTTCGTAATCAGTAATGGACTACATTTGTACGTTGCACAGTCCACACATATAAATTTCCAGAATGTCACGCCTTCATTAACTGATAATTATACATTTCATGCCTTGATCTACTGATAATGCCATTAACCACTGATTCATCCTTCTATGTGAACAACCATATAGAGCAAGACTCTTCTGTGTCTGCATCACAATAAAGAGAATGGCTTTAGAGTCACATTTTCCAAACAGACAGAGAAAGCACTGTTTTTCTCAAAGGGCAACACAAACTTTTCTGTGTTGGGTAAAAATAGCCACTGAATACCTGCTATTCATTGCGATCTCCAGAGCATGCAGATCAAAATATCTGATGAAAATGCCCATGATTACATTAAACCTAATGCACTGCACAGGCAAAAAAAAAGAAGAAAAATCTCTTCATTATACATTACACACATCCTGCAATGCTACAAAGAACAAAGAGAGTCATTTACACATTATCTATAAAAATAAAAAATACTTATAAAGATTCAAGCTAATCTAAAGCTATTTTACATTGATAACAAGTTCAATTCAAATCAAGTTTACTTGTATAGTGCTTTTTACAATAATTATTGTTCCAACGCAGCTTCACAAAAGGTGCACATCATTACATTAAAGTAGAAATCTGAAAAGTTAGGAAGTTTAACGAAGCGTTGGTAGTATAAACATAGTTAACCTCCAGTTATAAAGTGTCGTTTCGTATAACCTTTTGGACCTCTATGCTTAAATTGTACAAATACACACAAAATCAGCAGCATGTAAAACAAGTCACATTTTTTAATGCGATTTAATTGATTTATACTTTCATAATAGTTCTCAAAATTATTAAATACCTACATATTATGAAACACTTTAATGCTGGACCATCATTTCTTATGAAAACTGAGGGGATTGCAGGTTTCTGGGAATTGCGATAACTCCAATAAACATCATTCGATTCTGACAAATCCCTATTGATTTGTGGGTAATGTAATGTGTCCTCATTAATCACCCTCTGGGGAATGTAACCAATAGCTCAACAAGGATACGCCTGTTTTTGGCTCATTTCAACACACTCTGTCCAGGTCCTTATTAGGAATATTTAAACAGTAATATGTCTGGAGTCTTAAAAGCTTTAATTGCTGGTATGATGTTTATTAATTTATGACGATGATACATGTTAAAAAAAAAAAAATGAAAACCAGACAGTATTCATTTACATTTACAATGATTCTTTCTACTATACTATTGAAGTGTGTACACAATTTTTTAAATATTTTATTTTGTGTTCAACAGAAGAAATAAATGTATACAGATTCGGAACAAGTGGATAGTGAATGAGATTATTCATTTTAATTTTGGGGAGGGTTGTGTGGGATTACTTTAAAAACCATGTCAAGGAAAAGGTTTTGACAAATAACTATGCCTATTTATTTTACATTTTTTAGCTTTCAGATTTTATTATGGAAACTTTATATATACTTTATCTAACAACACTATAAATAGTTCCACTAATTTAGAGTTCCACATGATCAAAGGAATGAACTTATTGTTTTTTTTTACAAATTTAAGTTGACTGAACATAAAACAATTAGGTTGTCACAAAAAAAAACTTGAAAATGTGTTGTTTCATCTTATTTTAAGCAGTTAAAACAAACAACATTTTCGGAATGAATATTTGATACTGCTTAACAACACTACTTTTATTAAACTTTTCCCTGGTAGTTTTAAATTAGTCCTCGAATGCTTAGAGTAAGTCAAATAAATAAAAACCTCAAGGCTTTGCTAAGCGTTTATGTAAAAATCTCAAGGTTTACAGGCCTTCTATAGTTTTTATTAAATTCCCTTTTCCCAAACCCTACACAGAACATTAAATATATATATTTTATTATTAAAAAAAAAAAACAATTTAGTAGTTTTTTTATTATTATACTTTCTGGTAGTGTAAGTTGAATAGTTTTTAATCATTACAATTTGGATTTATGCCTTAGTTTAAGGTTGTACAATATTTAAGTTGTACTGAAAATATAAGTGATGTTCTAAGATGTTTTTACAGTTACAAAAGCTAACTATTTTAATAATGCTAATGTGTCCACTAGGGCTGCACAATATACCATTTCAGCATCGATATCACATATGTGATCATTCGCAATAAAGACATCGCAGGATATGTAATGTTAAGTTTATATTCTAATTTATCAATTGCATGTGTTTTTTCAATGCCTATAATTGTATAATGATTTTAAAAGCAATCAGGTATGAGAAATAGTACCATTTGTGACCTTAACTACAATTAATCTTACGGAATTATATATATTTTTATCATTCAGTTACTTTACTTGAATACCGTTAGACTCAGGACATGATAAAACCGTTTATTTCAATTGTATCTTTTTCTTAATTTTTAGATTGTTATGCATGAAAATACTCACAACACATGGGGATACAGAAATACACTGCAAAAGGCACAGACCACAATGAAAAAAATTTTTTTTAAGATTGACTGTGTAATAGATTTAATAGAGATGCACTCCCATTGCAGAATCATCCCAATTAATCTAACATTATAAATTCTTTACAAATAGAGAATATAAGTCATCTGATGAAATTGTATTCATATCGCAAAGAGTAGATTTTTCCAACCTTGTGCAGCCCTAGTGTCCACTACATGACAGAAGAG